ATATATAAATCTGAGTTTCATTCCTCAAATCTGCAGTAAAACTGAGCTGCAAACAGTGACCCACCAGGCATGGATCAGTCACAATGTGCACCAGAGAATCCCAATACAAACACGCATAGCTGTGGGCATGAATATAAAACCCCAAAAACCTTGCTGTTCTGGGTGTTATTGGCCCATTCTGGTTTACAATCTGCTCTGGAGACCACATCCACACGGAGACATGAGAGTAAACATTTAGTAAATTCTCCACTGTGGCTCTCTCTCTCTCTCTCTTTCTGGTATTTTTACTCTCGCCTCTTCACTTAAAAGCATCTCCCAGTGGATTACCATTTACTCAGAGGGGTTATTTATCATTTCACTGGACACCCACCCTCCTCGATCCCCCATGACCCCCCCACCCCTGCCTCTTTTGTTTTAATTGAGTTTATCTTTACTCCCTTGCGGTTTTGGCTGCCTAAGCCCAGTCGTGGCAGTTGGATTGCCCTGCAGAGCGCGCTCCTCTGAGTGATTCGCTCCTTTGCCGTGTGTTGTGGTCACTTGGGAATGGAGCTGGCAAGAACAAGAAGTGTTCGTCCAGTTCTTGCTGCTGTTTTGTCCAGAGTCCGTGGTCTACTTATGAAGTTATCATCACGAGGAGGCTGATCTTTAGGCAGCGTGCCAGCTAAAAGACTCCGGTCACTTGAGTATGAGTAAACGTTGCTTTATTCTCTGACGCATTTCTATTTATAAAAGCAAAAAAGGGATTTCAGTGTTCCACTTATTTCCTCAGTAGACTCATATCACCACAGCCTTTCAGGCTCTTTTCACAAAACTCACGCATTGGATGCAGAAAGCTTTAGCTCTTTGTAAGACGTTTGACTAAATTATCTCTTATGTTTCTCATTTCTGGACCAGGATGACTCTTCTTTTGCCTCAAATCGTCCTGCTGTTCTGGGCCTTGTGCCCCAGTGTGCAGGCTTACTGCGATACATCACTGGAGACATCCAAATTGAACTTCTCGGTCACCTACACGCTCCCAACTTTTACTGCAGACTTCCCAATCCAGAACATGGTGACCCTGGATGGAATCGTCTACGTCGGCGCCGTGAACAGAATTTACGCTCTGGCCCCGAACCTCACAAAGCTGTCAGAGTACCACACAGGGCCACTGCTCGCCAATGAGACCTGTGGCCAGACACCGATGAGTGCAGGCAACAGCAACAGGATGGACAACCACAACATCGCTTTAGTGGTGGAGAACATCTACGACAAAGGGTTGTACAGCTGCGGCTCAGCGGATAATGGAGTCTGTCGCCGTCACGTCCTGGATGAAGGCGACGTCCTTAAAACAGTTGATGAAAGCGTCTACTGCTTCACGGACACGGTGAGGCCAGCTCAGGGTCCATCAGGTGACCCTAATGTTGTGGTGAGCCCATCAGGCTCTCAGGTCCTCAACGTGGAGAGCAATGTCATCAAGTTTTTTGTTGGCAACTCTGAGATTCCAGGCACAGGGAACGTGTCGGGCAATGCAATGCATCCTCACACTCTCTCCATAAGAAAGATGAAGACGAGCCAAAACGGCTTCACGTTCTTCTCCACCCTCTCACACATGGACCTGATCCCATCTCTCCGAGGAAACTACTACCTGCGCTACATTTACTCCTTCCACAGCGGGCCCTTCACCTACTTCCTCACTGTGCAGCAGAAGAGCTGGGACTCTCAAAGCTACCACACCCGCATAGTCCGCATGTGCTCCTCAGACCTGGTGATCCGCCGCTACGTGGAAATGCCCATCGAGTGCATCAGCACCAAGAAGAGGCGCCGACGCTCTCCCGGGGATGAGAAGAAGGTCTTCAACATCCTTCAGGCGGCCCACGTCACCAAGGTGGGCAACGACGTGGAACTGCAGAGGCAACTGAAGGTGGAGGAAGGCGACGATGTGCTGTTTGCCGCCTTCGCTCAGGGACAGACGAACTCTCCAGAGCCGACCCCCAACTCAGCTGTGTGCGTCATGTCCCTGAAGAACCTCAACCATTTGTTCAAGATTTACATGCAGATGTGCAACACCCGCGACCCGTACCACTTTACCAGCTCCAACAAGACGTCCTGCTACAATCTGGTAAGAGCCGGAGGGGTCGTGTCTGGATGAGGGCAGGGTGGGGTGTGGGTACTGTTAAATTCCATTTACGTTTGTTTTGGTGAGAAATTTTAATTCAGCTTGCTTACACTCTGATAAATGAAGATTTCTGCAACGACTCATCTTGTATTTTTGTGACCTTCTATGGGAACACCCAGCATACAGCCTCTTTAAATGAATCTGAAAATGTCTGACACTTGAGATGTCTGAAAACGTCTTTAAGTGTGAAGGAAACACTGATGAAGCTACAGTTTTAGTACTTGCCAATCCATTATTTTCTATGTTCCAAAGAAGCTCTCTTGTTCCACACATCAGCAGCTCTAATACGTGCCTCGATGATGTCATAATAAGTTAGCCCCCACCCTCACACAACTAGGACGGTGCAAAGATGCACCAATGAGTATTAAATAGGGGTGGACAGAATGATAGTAGTAGGTGGTGAAGTATTAGAACATGTTGATAATCTGCCAAAGAAGAAAACTTGTTGCATCGCCTCTTGTTCTACGGTTTTATACAGACTAGGGTTGGGCATAATGGTATCGTGTGCAATTAATCGTCGGAAAAACATTAATCGATTATTTTCTGGCACTTGATGATTAATACCATAAATGCCATCAGGCGGAATGACAGCTCAGTGCTCCTCCCTGCTTCAAATATGATGAATATTTAAAAAAAATGTTCTGTAATTTATTTATCCATCAACATAATTTAAATTTGATGTACAGCCTGAAGTCTGTAATTTTGACACAATTTGGAACAGATTCTTATGAAAAGCAAATCTTTGCCACTAAATTGGTCATGTGACTAGGACATAATTATGATGAATTATTTTGCCAATATTGCCCAACCCTAGTACAGACACACCAGTTTTATTTTCTTCTGCCAAAAGACACAATGTACTAAAGTTAGCTAAGCTGCACAAACTGAAAATCTTTAATTTTTTTTCTTTTTAGCCTTAATACTTATGCTATAGTGGATTTTTTAAAAGTTATATACCCATGAAATAGCCCATTAATAAGTCAGTAACTTGTAAAACCACTAAGCCATGCTGATAGGCCTGATTCTCTTTTCATGAATACACTGCCACCACAATGATGAACCACTATGACCTCACTACAGACCTTCTGTGCATTCTATAAACTAGGGTTGGGCATAATCGTATCGTGTGCGATTAACCGTCAGAAAACCATTAATCTATTATTTTTTGGCACTTGATGATTAATACGATTATTATCTATCAACACAATTTAAAAGTTGATGTGTAGCCTGATCTGTGATTTTGACACAATTTGGAACAGATTTTTAATGAAGAGCAAATCTTTTCTAAATTGGTCATGTGACTAGGACATAAGGGTGTCCAGGGACTCCAGGGGATTAATCATCAAATTAATCATTATTGGCTAAATACCACAATTAATCGTGATTAATTTTTTTTGCCAGTATCGCCCAACCCTGCTACAAACCATGGTAGACCTAGCATCTGAACTTAGAGGCAAAACAGGTTTTTAATACAAAAACATCTGTGTTCTGGATGATTTTAGTTATGTTATTATTACTCAAAGTGATGTTTGATAAATGTTCTTCAATATGGTTCTGTCTTTTGACATAATTTAAACGTAAAAACTACTTATTTGCTGCAGACACTCTGGCTTGTTTGTTGGTCTCAGGACCCTTCATGTCTGAGTGTCCTTGAGCTCGACACTGAAGCATGACTTTCTCCAGGACACCACCTGTGTGGTTGTGGGTAGTCATGCGTTCAGTTCTTGACGACAGTGCCCTTCATGTGTTAGAGAACCCGTGTTCCAGATTTGTCTGAGAACAGGTTGCTTGTTGGCAGTGTAGAGTTAAATCTGTGTTTTTGTCTCATGCCAGCAAAGTGAATTTGCAGGGCTTCATACTGTATGTAGGTTGGGCTTGTTTTGTCCTTGTTTGGTGAACAGCATATTAAACATGTTGCCATTTTTAAACTGAGCTCTCAAGTTTTGAACAAAGTGTCAGGGTGATGGATCTAAATATATACACAGAAGGTCAACCAAGAAAAATAACTTCATGGGCAAAAACCAGGATATTATTTTCTAGTCACGTCAGGTGACCTGGCCTGATTCCAGCTCATGATGTGC